GGTAAAAAGTACAGATCATTGGAGCTAAGTACCCGAGGGAATTAAAAAGAAAAAGGAAAGGAAAAATTTGACAAGTGAACAGAGTAAAACAGTTTCCAGTATTAGAAGAGAATTAACAGTAGTTTGTAATCTCCAGAACCATGTAGAAATGAAGTAACGATTTTCTTTCCCTTCTGGAAATTTCGTTGAGACCAGAATCTGATTGATATGATTTGTCAAAGCAACCATAAAAATATTGTCTATGCTTAAAATTGAACATTTTGGTTCTAAGCATCCCCATTACCAGCAAATTCTAACTTTCTACAAGTTCAAGATAATGTAAAATTATATTAAAAAACACGAGTAGATCCATCTTTATCAACTAAATAGCATACTGTAATTTGCACTTAGAAGTGATTACCAAGATAAATAAGCCACATGCTCATAATACTAATCACCATGAAAAGAACACAAGAAAATCGATCACAAGTACAGCTGAAATGAAATTTCAGGGCCAAAACAATGCCCGCTTACTGGGAAGAGACAAAAGGCAAAAATAAAATAAAAATAAAACAAGTCAATAGATAGATATTTGAAAAGAAAAAATAAAAATAAATAAAAAAAGTTCACCCATTCAGGATAAAACGAGATGGAGCTTGTGAAAAAATAAAAAAAGAATACACATACCGGTCGCAAAGGTAGCCCCGAGGGGCTAAGCGCACAATTTGTGTTTGCATTGTCCCAGTTTGGCGGATGGTTATACCTACAAGATGATCCATATTTACAACCCCCAGTTCTCATGTAGAATTTGCAGTCAGGCTCGCCATATCTTTCAGGTAATTGGTGTTGTGATGTTACACCGGCGCTCAAAGGGGAGGCAGACGAGGGTAACTGGGCATAGCCTCCTGTAAAAGCAGTTGCAGAAGATGATAGCTGTGACATTCCATATACAGAAACTCCTCCAACTGAGGATTGAGCACCAGGTGATGGTGCAGGGCTAACTGGTCCCTGCATAGGTAAACCAACAATACAATATTAGGGCATTATTTGTGGGTACGAAGATAATATATCAACTAAAAATACTACAAGAACGGCCTACCGAGTATGGATTCCAGTTTGGCATGGGAACCACTCCTGGGTGAAGCAACATGGGAGCATAAGCACCGGGCACATATGAAGGATGCAATAAAGGAGGCCTTGCAACTCTATAAGTGGTCGATGTGCTGTCATAATGCTCAGAAGGAACGGAGAGAGACTGCGCCGTCGGAT